CCAGTGAAATATATTTATGTTTGTGGTTGTAATGTGACAAAATATGGAAAAGTTCAAGGGGTATGAATACTTTTGCAAACCACTGTATGTTTTTGGTCTGTGGGAGGAAACCAGTGTACCCAGAGAGAACATGCAAACTCTACCCAGAAATGTCCCCAGGCTGGGATTTGATCCAACGACCTTCTTGCTGAGAGGCATCAGCTCTACCAACTATAATAATAATAATGATGATAATAATGATAATGATGATGATGATAATGATGCACTTTCGTCATTGCTCCCACCCAGAAGCCAAAGGTACTGGAGCCAGTTTGTAGGAACATCAGTGACTGTTGCAGTATGCATTATACTACAAAAAATAGCTAGTTAAAAAAACGTACTAGATTATAGTTTGAATCTTCTCAAATTAGGTGAAATAATCTGCCAGTGCAGTAAGACCATTGCACTTGGTGAGATTTCTTGAAAGAAGAAGAAATGTCCAGGCTAATTAATAACCCAATACATTCTGCTCTTGTTTAGTATATCAGTCCCAAGACAAGATCAAAAATACATTTTGGCTGTTATAAGATTGTAAGACTTGGTTAGAAGTGGTTTGGACTCATTTTATCATACATTTGGTAGCGTAAATACAATCTGTCCTGGGGTCAGATTTATAAAGGATTGCATGGAAACCATACTAAAAATGAATGTATGGCCAAAAGGCGAAAATGATGTACGCCAAAAAAAATTCAGATTTATAAAACCGTGCGTACGCACGTTTCTGCGCATCTTTCATTTATAAGCTGCACCTCATAGTTTGTGAACAAGGTCCCGTCTCAGGTTCTGCCCTCTACATGCCCACACTCAACCATAAACAGTCAATGCAAAGTACCTCATGAATGTTAAGATGTATTTAAATCAGTCAGCTGGTCAATGTCAGAAGAAGTGATTGGACGACTCAGACTCGCGCTCCGTCGTGCATCTGGATGTTGACATGTGCTGACAACTGCTCATGTGAACAGAATGGGCCTCATGCAAGAACATGTTTGTATTCTTCTCCTAAATTTCTCTTTCTTTTGTTCGTACAAAGGGTTCGTACG